CAGCAATGGCGTACAAATGTTTCAGAGTGTCTGAGTGGAACATCAATCATGGCACATCCATTCCTATTGCCAGGGACCTTCACCTGCGTCAGCTCCACCACACTGATGTAAATCGCTGCAAACCATGGCCGCATGCAGGGTGCTCATCTACGAAGCAGAGACAGTGTGCCTTTTCTTGTTTACATCTCAGCATGTTTGCAAAATCAAAAGACAGGGCATGTAGAATCCTGTTGACAAGATGTTATGCAAAGCCAGGAGCTGAGAGCGCCTTTCCCTCCTCGACCTGGAGTCTGTATTAGCACTCTCTGAGCTCATGTCTCCCAGGCGTCAGAGCTGACAGCCTTTGAACAGATCTTGTTCACATTAGGAAGAAAGCGGCCACTCTTCTAATGTTGATAAATTTTGCAGCAGTTTTTCTCGTATATACCGGCCGCCTTGAAACACATCTAATTAAGCAGCAGTTAGCTTACTGGGGCTGCACTTCGCTTTGATGTGCTCATCAGCGTTGGGGAGGAAGTATGGGGAAGCTAATCATAATAGGACTTAGCTCTTATAAAATGCCTTTTATCTTCCAAGTGGTTTACAACCACTAATTATTAGAGGAATTAGGATGAATAGCAACCATCTTGGTGAGACCTGAAGCCATTAGCCAGGGCTTTTAATGTATCTTATAATAGATCAGGGCAGTGTGGCGGGGGTGTTTAATAACAGCTGTCCGAACCTGGAAGAATTATTTCAGAGAGGTAATGCAGCTGTTCCCTGTCTCCCTGGAGGCCAGAGCCTGGAAATTGGACCTAATTTGAGGAGAAAGAATGCTCACCAGAGGATTGCATAAGCTACAGCAGGTTACCAAAAGGAAGGTAGATAGTCTTTATCTATGGTGTCTGCACACACCTGACCCTTTTGGAGGCTTGTCCCCTTCCTGGTGGTCTGCTGTGGGTGAGGCCACTTCACTATGCTCCATCCAGCTGACAGTCCGTGTTAGATTAAAGAACCTTGATTTTTGTTTTCTTCATGTGCTTGCTCGCTTTCCCTCTTCCTCTCTCATCTGAGAGAGAGAGGGGGAAGAAATGAAAGTTCATGAAGATATATGTGACTGGATGAGAAACTGAGACATGAGAAACATTCCCCAGAGTACTGGGCATGTGAACACATGCCAGCTGAACATGTGAACACATGCTTCCAGGTGGTGGCGCTGTTTGGGAGGTTTAGGAAGCGCAGCCTTGCTGGAGGAAGTACGTCACTTAGAGATTAAGAAGCCTTCACTATTTCCAGTCTCTCTCTCTCTCTCTCTCTCTCTCTCTCTCTCTCTCTCTCTGCCTTGTATTTGCGGTTCAAGATCTGAGCTCTCAGCATCTCACTCCAGCTACCACCATTGCCTCTTCCTACCTTGCCTTCCAACCATGGTGGGTTCCTATCCCTCTGAAACCGTAAGTAAAAATCAACTCACCGTTTTGTAAGTTGCCTTGCTCACGGCATTTTATCCCAGCAACAGAAAAAAGTTACTAATTGATATAATATTGAAACAATACATATTTCTTTGGCTTGGCTTGTTGAAATATACCGAGGTGGAAAAGCTAGTTGGATTTAAACAACAGCAATAGTTGTAATAGTGGTAATGATAATACCCCAATAACAATAGTGGTAATGATAAAAGGTAGTTTGCCCGAGGACAGCTGAGGAAGATGCTGTTTTCTTATGGGATAGAGATCAGCTTGTCAAATCCCCCAAACAAATGCTACCCTGCATGTAGCAAATCTCTTCTCTCTTGATAATAATGTTTACTCCCAGCTCTGTTTGCCCTGCCTCCTGCATTTTACAGATGAAAAAAAAAAAAGGAATCATGAAGATGTCACCTAACTTATTTAGTGTTACACAGCTAGGCAGTGTTGGAGGCAGGATTTGAACCTGGGGCAACTTGGCTTTTCCCATTCTGCTGTGCCACCTCCCAGAAGCTCAAGTGTGATGGTCCCCTCACCCTTTATTCTCTCCCCAGCAAAAAAGCAGGGTGGCTGTATGCTCAGTCTGTTGTTTGGCAAGAATTGTCTATTTTCAGCCCCACCGACTCTGAGCTAGTCATTGGGAACTTGGGGTCCCACTACACAGGGGTTCTCCTCCCACTGAAACCTGGTAGTTGAAGAGATTTGAATGGCTCCCAGGGACACTTTGGGACTTTGATCTCCTAACTGTCTGCTGCAGAAGGGATTCAAGGGGAATCTGTGTGACTTAGTGGCTGCCTTCAAGTTGGCAGCAGGTAAAGTGGGGAGAAAAGTAGCAGCCGAAGTCCAGATTAAGAGAGAAATTCCCTTTAAACCCTCAGGAGGGATCTAGGTTTGATCTACAGACTTTCTGATTGCACACTCAAGCTGCTGGAATTACTCTGGATAACTGGGAAGTCTTCCTAGGAGTATTTGAAGACTGGATAATTTACATCTGCATATAAAGTGTTTTATGGAATTATCCCAGAGGAAAAGAGTGGTTTAGAAATTCAGCCACAGGCAGGATCAAAGTGTGTTCAGTTGAGAGATATATCTCAGTGATAGGGTGTGCTTAGCATGGCATGGTCCTGGGTTTGGTCAGGAGAAAAGAAGGAAGGAGGGAGGAAGGGAGGAGTGTGGAACTTAGCCTGCCTTCTTTTGTGACTGTAATGTCTTTTGAGCTAGTGAAAATCTTTTAAGTAAAAAATAAAAATATATTACTATTGTGTGTGCACGTATGTGTACAAGTGCCACTATATGAGTGTAAAGGTCAGAGGACAGGTTTATGAGGTCATTTCTCCCCTTCTACCTTTACCTGGGTCCTGGGGATTGAACTGGGCTCACCAGACTTGCATGGCAAGTGCATTTACCCACTGGGCCATCTCACCAGCCTCGCTAACAGTAAATCTTGAAGACAAGAATCCTGTCTATCCTCAAGGTTAAGGCTTCCTTGGGCATTCTCAGGTGGGAGATAGCTGAGCCCAGGACATGGATTCCACTTTACTCAGAGATGGAAGCAGTTTTGCTTCCACTATTTTGTCCCCTGTTGCCCTTGGAAAACCCACACAAGCTGTGCAAAGATTTCAAGTCAATCCAGGGGCCTCAAGGGTAGGGAAAGAAGCCCGGATGCCAATGTATAAGTGGCTTTCCCCAGGAGTTCTGCCCTTCTTCTATGTGTTTAGGGTAGCAATCTCAACCTTGGGATCGAATATTAAATGTCTTACATGTCAGAGATTCATCGCAATTCATAACAGTAGCAGAATTGCAGCTAGGAAGTAGCAACGAAATAATTTCATGACTAGGGGTCACCCCAACACGAAGAACTTATTATGACACAGAATTAGGTAGGTTGAGAACCACTGGTGTAGGGTTTGCTTAGCTCCCTGCACAGTCTGGAAGATTCCACAGGGAAATTGCTTAATTTTAGCCATTTTTCTCCTTGACAGAATTGAATATCCAAGGAAAAATCAGGGTTCTGGGATAAATACAATATACTGGTGGCTAGTGGTCCAGAGAACCAGCTACACTACCCAAGAACCCAGGTTCCATTCCCAGCACCCACATGCCAGCTCACAACCAACTGTAACTTCAGGTCTAGGGGAATCTAATACCCTCTTCTAGCCTCTATGGGCACTGCACACATGTGATATACAGGACACACATTCAGACAAAACAGCCTTAAACATAAAATTATACATTCATATAAATATGCAATAGACTAGGCTATAATGTTTAGGCCTGGGTAGACAGAAAGTGGTAGTGGCCCCAACACAACAATAATTGCTTATCTTCTTCCTCCTTCTCAATACATTTATTGGGTTATTGATATACAGTAAGCTGCATGACTTTGAAGTCTATAACCTGATAAATTTTGACATAGATTTGTGTGCATATACATACATACATACACACATACATACATGTGTATGGTGTGTGTGTGCGTGAATGCAGCCAGTCTTTCATTTGTGGAGGCTCTACATCCAGCTCACCATGGGTGTGCACTGAGCAGGTGTAAGCTTTTTTTCTCTAGACTAAACAGCGTAAGAACTGTTTGCACAGCGCTTACACTGTAGCAGACATTATAAACTTTCTCTGGAAGGCATGTGGTAGGAGACAGGTGCGGTGATGCATATCTGTGACCCCTCCCGCACATGGGAGACGGAGGCGGGAGAATCACAAATATGAGGTCAGCTTGGGTTACACCGTGAGGGCCTGTTTCTAAATAACCAAATAAAATATACGGCAGGCTATGCGTAAGTTATGTGTAAATACGATCCATTTTGTGTAAGGAGCTTGGGCACTTGCAGATTTTTGAGCAGAGTGAGTAATCTGAAGCAGTCCCTCAGGGAGACTGAGAGGCCACTATGGATCAATGAGTAAGTTAGTAGATCTGTGAGTCTACCGTGGCTTCACATGCCACACTCAGGAAATGACGACAGGGGTTATATCCATCCGTATCCCAGACCGCCTCGTTCTCATCCCTCTTCACTCTTTATCGTCTTTCTGACATGGTTGTTTCCATTTTTCCATCAATGTCATCAAATGCAATAGTCAACTTGGACAACTGTAAACAAAGTTATGTAAACAGGACCACGTGGCACATATCAGTCCTTGGCTTCTTGCGTTTGTGTGATCAGTTTGAAATGTATCCATTTTGTTACTCACTCCCTATTTGTGCAGGGTAGCCACTGTTGTGTTCACATACACATGACAGTTCATGTATCCATTCATCTCCTTCAGTGTTGTGTGGCTATTTAAATTTGGAGCATATAGGGCGCCCTATAGCTTGCCTCCTTTCAGTCTCCATGTATTCCTTCCCTTCTCTCATTTGATAGACTGGCTGATCTATCAGCCATCCCTGCAAACCACACTGGTCCCGAGCCCGGTAATTAAGAGCTGGTTGCTAAGAGATGCTTGCACATGCCAGTGACCAGCTTTGGACACAGTTTCTCTCTCTTCCTGCTCTTTCTCTGTCTTGTTTCACCCTATTCACACCCTTCTTTCCCCATCTCTGCTGCTCAGGTTCTGAAAATCCACAAGGAAATTCACAGGTCTAATGGCCACCCCGGAGGGCAGGGGAAACTCCAGCTCCCAGATGTCAGGCCATGGGTGGCAGGAACATGGAGCCTGCCTGGAGCAGATGGACCACCCAGAGAGGTTGGAGGTGGAGGAGCAGATGCCAGCCCAGAGTGTCATGCGGAGGAAGGCACAGGAATTCTTCCAGACATGTGACTCCGAGGGCAAGGGCTTCATCGCCAGGACGGACATGCAGGTGAGAGGGGTCTCCACCTCGAGCTACACATGAGCTACCTGCCAGAGTTCTTTCCAGAAAAGGTCTTAGCTCTGGAGCCACTGCCAGTGTGTACTGTGCGGGGGAAACCTGGTCTCTGTTCAGTCAACGGCCCTTACCTGCTGTTGGGCTGTTTTCCTTCCCTGACTTCACCCCAAGGCTATTGGACCTGGTGGTAGTCACATGATGCATTTACTATAGCACAGGAGTCCGAGGATGTGGCTCAGCTGGTAGAGTGCTTGTCTAGCTGCCCTTGATGAAGCCCCAAGTTTAATCTCTAGCAGCACATAAACCTACATAGATGGGGTGTGGTGGCACACACCTGTACAACTAGCTACTTAGGAGGTTGAGGCAGGACTGTTGGTTCAAAGCCAGTGGATGACTCTGTGAGATCTTTTCTCAAAAATAAAGTTAAAAGCATATGGGATGTAGATGAATATTAGAGCACTTACCTAGTACCTCAAAGGCCGTGGGTTCAAAACCCAGTACTGAAAATAAAAAGGCCATTTTTGAAATGACCTTTAACCTTTATATAATTCCTTTTGTGTCACTATGACTTCCCCTTTTTTCCCCTTCTAGCCACTTAAAAATGTAAAAGCCATTCTAACTTCATTGACCACACAAAACTAGGCAATTGCAGGTTTAATGTTAGGAGTATCGTGCATAGGATGCTCCTACGTTACTCCCTGTCCCCTAGTCCCTTCAACAGCTCCTGAGAATGAAATGGCCCACTGAAGGCCTGTATGGTACCAACCAACCTACTATACTAAAGCCAAGCACATCGCAGTCTGCCATGGGGCAGAGGCTGATACAGCCTCAGCTCTCCCGATGGTGCTCAGAATAGCTGAGCTATGCGTGCCACCTGCTCAGACTGCTGGGGCCACCCAAAAGAAGAGGGTGTGTGCACTTCTGGCCTTAAAGATGGTTCTCCTCCAGTTTCCTCTCCAATGTGAGTGTCACTTGATCAGGGGTAAAACTGTGTAGCCACGTGCTTGAGGAAGGTGACTGAGCCTGCGTCTAAAGATTCCTCCCTGGTTCACATTGTCTGCAAATTCGGTATGGCACCTGTGCGTCCACATGCTCACAGACAGGTCCAAAGAGTAAAAGGCCACGTGAGGGTCCTGCTAACCTTGGATGTCCTTCCTGATCCTTTCCAGCTAAAGTAGGGTGGAAGCTGTCAGTTTTCTGCCAGATCAGGCAGCCAGAAGCTCACTAGGGAAGGAGGAAATTGAATCCCTAAGATAGTGTTGGGATCCAGCTGTGATGGGAACCAGGGAAGTTTCCTCCTACCTCCAGGGGGGAATGTCTTTCATTTCCAATGGAGCCAATAAACTTCCTACTTGCAAATCCAACACTCTCCTACCCTGAATTCTTCCCTGTGGTTCCTCCATAGCTGGTTTATGGACTGCTGATGTCTGCTGTGCTGTTGAGTTTCTAGAGCCCTTGCACATACTTTCCCTCTCCTTCCTTTCTTGAAAAACCCCATTCATATTTAATGCAGTTCTTCGAAATGGCTTTCCCGTTAGCCTCTCTTCCCACTTGGTAATGTGGACCAAACGCCACCGTTAATGCACAGACCAGCCAAATGATGCTTTATGGCTCAGCAGCTAAAAGACTGTGAGCCAAGCACCCCCTCCAGGTGTCTCATGGGCTGTCACACCTGCCGACTCTAACTGTCCACACGTGTGTCTGCTTTCCCTCCTCCAAAGCCGTGTGCACGCCAGCTAAGGCTGTCAGTCACGGGCACAGGAGACATTTGTGCAGCTGGCCCTTGGGTTCCTGAGGAGAAGGAGGGCCAGCTGAGAGGTAACGAAGTCCCTTGGGACTCCTCACTTGGAGTTGGGCCGTTAGGTACAGGAGGACTCTTGCTTTGGCCTGAGGCCATTTCACACCAGACAGACAGACGCCAGAGGGAAGTGTCAACAGCTCAGCTGCCTCATTCCCTGGGCTGTCAGTGGGTGCAGGCTCTGAACCTCCAAGGCCCTCCCCACTGACCTACCTCCACCAGCTAGATCCTCAGCCTCCTGGAACACTATCGGCTGAGGGACTAAGCATTCAATCCCACGAACTTGTGGGGGACATTTCACATTCAAATCACCGTGTGTGTGTGTGTGTGTGTGTGTGTGTGTGTGTGTGTGTGTGTAGGGGGTTCACTTGAAGTTAGGAGGGGGCTTATCCAGCACCACAACTACTTAGAAGAGCAGTGCTGGGCTCCCGGGGCAGAAGACCTCCACCAAGGAAGACCCACATAATGCGGGAGGGAGCATGACTCAGGAAAGGGGGTACCTGTTAGGAATTTTCCTCTCTGCTGACGCAAAAATCCCAATCAAGCCAAATCATAACAAGCCAAGTTAAAAAATATCCAGGTTTAATGAGATTCCTGCACTCTCAGGTGGCCCTGAGGGGAAACCAGGAAGCTACTAACTCGATGTGGGGGGCGGGGGCGGGCAGCCACGAGGAAACTTTTCTGGGAAGCAGTTTAAACACACTGAAGGAGTGGTCAAGATTTTGGCAGGCTCGCCTTGACCCACCTCCGGGTAGGAGTCAATGCTTATGGGCACAGAGTTGGGGCCTCCAAAGATGGAGGCCAGAGACCCGGACTTACAGTACCCAGAGGAAAAGACCAGGATGCACATAGTGGCTCCATGGGCCTCTGTCTCTCCCTCTCCCTGTCCTTTCCATTTATTTATTTATTTATTTATTTATTTATTTATTTATCTATCTATCTATCTATCTATCTATCTATCTATCTATTTATATCTATCTATCTATCTATTTATTTCTATCTATCTATTTATTTATTTATTTATGTGCTGAGGGTCAAACTTAGGGCCTTGTGCAGGCCTACGCCCTCAGCCAGTTTCTTACTTTTGATTTTGAAACACAGTCTCGCCAAGCTGTGCAGGCTGTCCTTGAACTTGGCACCCTCCTGTCTCAACCTCCCGAGTAGCTGGGATTACAGGCCTGTGCCACCAGGCCTATTCTCCCTCCTTCTTTGATGGAGTGGTTTCCAGGTGCCGGGTGTTGTGTCTTCGGCTTCCCATCTGTGGTCTCACTTTACTTCAGAACCCCACATCCTCTAGGAACCTACCTAGAGCTATCCAGTCCTGTACAGCATTGGTCCTCAGCAGTGCTCAGAGTGCCGGCTTCGAAGGCAGACCTGGATTTGATTTCTTGGCTGTAGGACCCTAGGGCTAGCAATTCATCTTTAAAATGGACATAATGATATCTACCCCAAAGGGGTATCATGAGAATTAAATACAAATAGATGCATAGGTTTCTTTATAAATCATATGGAAAATTGTCTGATGCATTGGTTGTCACCCAACAGAGGGTCTCTTCATTAATATGGAAGGGAGGACAATGTTTGAGACTTGTGCAGGCTTGAGTCAAGCTCTGGACCCCCATGACCATCAGCATGCTGACTAGTGTGGTCTGGATTGCTTCTAGAGGCTACATCAGGAGCTACCCCTAAGTCTGGAGGAGCTGGAGCACGTGTTTGATGCCCTGGATGCTGACGGCAATGGCTTTCTTACCCCAGAGGAGTTCACCACTGGATTCAGTAAGTTCTGCTGGATGATGGGGACCTAGGGCTGGCAGTCTCCCTGTAGCTGTGTAACATATATTCCAGCTCCCTCCACCTCTTTTAGACTATGTCTCTGGGGCATTTCAGCTCTTTCTTTTGGGGGTACAGAGCCAGAAGTTGAGGAGAGTAGATTGTTGGGTTCTTTCTACATGCCCACCTTGGCTGTTCATACCATGGCAACCTCTGTACCCATCTACTGTCATTGCCAGGGTCCCCACATGGGAGCTCAGGCAGGTATGGCATCAGCAGGAAGTTTGCCAGATTTTCTCCCCCATCTCTCCTGCCTTGGTAGACAAAATAAGCAGTGAAAGTGTGTGACAGCAGGATAGCTCAGCCTAAGTCCAGCTGAGAGGTGGTGGCTCTCAGAAGTGTCTAGGTTTGAATAGCACAGTCATGCTCAAGGTCACCAGCAGGAAGGAGAACTAAGGTCTGGGAGCATGATAAAGAATTCAGATCCTGCCTTCAGATGAGATGAACCAGTAGGCCAGTTTCTCCATCTCTCTGCCTCCTGCAAAGGGCCGTGTAATTTCCCTAAACACATCAGGTGCTTTTCCTGACCTCCAGGAGCTTTTTGTTGACTTGAGAGGATGGGACACATTGCTGTCACGCCAGCCATCGTGACTATTGAGAGAGCTGCCTATATGTGTGTGGTGGTGCTGATGGTGGGGATGGCAAGGCAGGCCTCTGGGGAGTGATTGGGGGAACAACCTTACTGCTTCAAGTAGCAACAGGAAAAGTCATGCTTTTCTTCTTCTTTTTTGGTGGTAGGACTTGGGATTGAACCTGGGACCTTGGTTGTGCTAAGCAAATGTTCTACCCCTGAGCTACATCCTTCAGAGGCACATGCTCTCCATCTGACTTTTAGAGATCCATGGAGGAGCCAGCCTGCTTCCCAGGCACTGTCTCCAGGCTCTGGCATCTCTGTCAGAATGCAAATGGAAGATCAGAGGGAACAATCTCTAGACGCGGTGCCCCATGGATCTTTGCTATTGAGGGACCCCCTTCTGCTCTCTAGGACAATCCTTGCATGGTTCCCGGGAAAAGAGGAAGCCAAGTCCTCCCTGAGCTGAAGTCCTTGTTCTCTACTCTCCTAGGTCACTTCTTCTTCAGTCAAAATACCCAAAGTGAGGAGGAAGCTGACAAGCAGATGGAGAAGGTGTATCAGTCTAGAGGTGAGGATGTGGAAGGCATGGACCACGATGAGGAAGCACAGTTCCAGATGCTGATGGATAGACTTGGAGCCCAGAAGGTTTTGGAAGAGTAAGTCTATACTGGACCCTGTTCACTCCTACTTACCTCTCTCCCACACTCTCCACTGTCCTCACTTCCTGCTGTCCACTGCCATCATTGCAGGCCTTGGGTCTGCTCCCCTTGCAAAGGGTGCCCTGTATCAGAGATGGCACGGGTGTGTGTTCATGCAGGGGGGGGATGCTTTAATCATTGGAGAGTCATGCCTTCAGGAAGAGAAGGACCCATGGTGGAAAGCGATCCAGCAAGGTCAGCGAAGAAGTGTCCTGCTCATAATAGATCAGTCTAGTGTCAGAGGTGAGAAAGGCTGTCAAAGATGTGTGCCAGCCAGGAAGGATCCAGGCTGTGAATAACCCAGGATGATGCTCAGGATACAGAAGGTGGGGACATAGGCAGGCATTTGGGGAGCTCATCAGTCAGACTCCCAACTCAGCTTCATGCCAGACAAGAAAGAGGCCAGAGCCCAGGTACCACTGCCAGGGACTCCATAAAATCCTCCTGCTGCAAGAAGAGGGAGAGGGCACTGCCAAGAGCTGGTCACTGTCACGAAGGGCAGGGACAGTCAGCCACCTTCCTGAAGGACTTTCAAGACAGTGCTCACTAGATGTCACACTGAGGACCACGTCAAATGCCTGTGTAGAACTGAGATGAAGGATGTGTCTGAAAGACTGTTTCTAGGTTGACCTCTAACAACCAACAGAGAAGACAATGGCAGTCCCCATCCTCACCGACAAGGGCTCATCTAGTAGCCCAAAGGGCTGGTCTATGATGGCATAACCGCAAACAAAAGGCACGGCAGGTTGGCATAGCTTCAGTCAGAGCTGTCTGTTGCTCAGTAGAGAGCTCGTGAGTTGTTCTAGTAGAAGCAGAGGGGTGGACTGGTGGGCCTCCTTGGACCGCTCTAACCTGCACTGCCTGGTGGTCCCACAAGAGGTAGCGCCCAGAAGTGGGCATCCAGACACACAACTGTTCTTGGAGGTCTGGTGGTATGATTTTGCCAATTAGTGAGCTATGACTTTCTTATCACAAGTTGAGAGATTTAGCCTCTGTTTGTTTCTTTCTTGTTTTTGTGGCCTGATGGTAATAGCATAAGGGAAGGAAGACTCAATTTTCCTGACAACTTCAGAGGAGTGCAGTTCAGCATGGCAGGGAAGGCATAGATGGAGGACTGATGGATAGACAGGTGGATGGGTGACTAAATGGTCTCAATGAATAGGCAGATGTTTGAATGGCCCAGAAGTAAGAAAGGGTGGAAATGAAGGACAAAGCAGAGGAAGAAGAGAAGGAAGGGTGACAGGTGATGACCATTCCCTAACCGGAAGTGGATTCAGTCAGCAGTAATTGTTTCTGTTGGATACAGAGAGTCATATCTGCCTAGAGAACACTACTGTCATGGCCCAACCCAACATCACTTCCAAGCAAAGCTTCTGAATACAGTGTTTACAATGGCCTGAAGGATTTTCTCCTTTATTTTGGGAGTGCCTGGCCCTGTTCTCTGATCATATTGGCTTTAGGATTTAATGAGGGATGAGTCAGATTTGTGCTGCGCGCACTGCAATCACAGCTGTAGGTATTAGGTGTAGAAAGGGAGAGTGAGGCCTACACCTACATCCGCCGCTTGGTGACAAGGTCGCCATGGTCTGTCTCTGTGGCTTCTTCTTCAGTGAGTGAGTGAGTACTCACTGTGCATGCCTGTTTGTGGGTGATTCTCATGACCCATGACTCCGCCGCTCTTTCTTGCACACCTCAGACTCTGACTTCCCATTTGTCTGTCTGTGTCTCTGCCTCCTTCAGACTGGCTCTTCCCCATCCTTTCCCCTGCCAGTCACTCCCAGTGCCACCAGACCCCAGTGGGGTGCTGTGTATTCGCCTTCTCCCCTAGGAGCGACAATTACATTCTACCATCCATAAGACAGCATGTCCACCTCTCAGCAGTGAGGACATCCTTCCCAGGGGTGATGGCCTCTCTCCGGCTCTCTGTGCTGGCTCTACCCGACTGCCTCCAGTCTCCCCCAAGTCTTGCGATGCTGGCCAGCACATTGCTTTGCATGCTCAGTGTGGTCAGTACATCATGACCCTCGCAAAGGAAGTGGCGCAGTGAGAGACCAGCACGGGAGGAGTCAGGCTGCTGGGCACGAGCCTGGATCTATCACTGCACCGGGGGTTGCCTCCCAGGTCATAGTGAGGCTGGAGGGAGGTGGTGTGCAGCGAACACGGTGCCACCAACTCTCGCTGCTGCTATTTTTAAGGCAATGAGTGTGTTTCCAGCTGTTTACTCCCCTGTCGGGGGTCCCCATGTTTCCCAGAGACCCTCACTTACCCATTCCCTGTTGCGGTTTCTCCTTCCCTCACAGTGAAAGTGACGTCAGGCAACTGTGGCTGCAGCTGAAGAAGGATGAACCTCATCTGCTGGCCAACTTCGAAGACCTCCTCACCACGATCTTTGCTCAGCTCCAAGAAGCCCATGAGCAGAAGACTGAACTGGAGTATACCCTCAGAAAGTAGGTGCCCATCTCGGCCCATGGGGTTGTGCCCTTCCTCCTATCTTTGTCATGGGCTCATTATAGCGTGCTCCTTCTTCACTGTCTCCCAAGGAAGGTTGGAGTGCTACAGCCAGTGCGGTCTATCTGCTTTCCAGGCCCAGCTCACCCTTATGAAGCACCTTCTGCTTGCTAGAAGCTATTCCTAAATATTTTATGTGCATTATCTCATTTGATAGGGACTATCCACTGTTACCCACATTTTTTATTTTTGCTGAAGCATGCATGAACGGGTTTTATGGTCTTAAGTTTGATGAGGATGACTGACCCGGTCTCTTCCTCAAGAGGGCACCAGATCTCCTTACAGACGGTTGTGAACCACTGTGTGGTTGCTGGGAATTGAACTCAGGATCTTCGAGAGAGCAAACAGTGCTCTTAACTGCTGAGTTATCTCTCCAGTCCCATCATCCACATTTCCAGATGAGAAAATACGATCCAGGAAGTCAGGTGCCCAGGAATGCACAGCTTGTAAGTGGTGGATGCAAGATTCAGAGGTAGATAGCCCAGAGCCCTGGACAGGAAGGAAAAACTCCCTACCTGCCTGGAGACAATAAAGCCCTAGCATTGGGCCTCCCCCAGTTCCCAGTATCCCTTGCTTTGTGGAGACAATATATCTGTTAGAGGGTGGTGAAGAGCCCTCCCACCCCCACTGTAACCTCCTCTCTTTGCCACCATGGTCTATCAGAAGACAGGACCAAGACCTCTAAGGAACTGCTGCCAACCAAGGGTCCACATGGGCAGATGCATCAGATCAGAGGCAGCCTGTGGAGGTGGATCCCCTCAGAGAACTAACCCGTGCTTGGGATGCTGTCCTGGCTTCTGGTCATATAGCATGCATTCACACAGTAAGCTGGCATTTGGGAACATGGAGTTGACTGAAGTATAATGAAGGGTGGTCAAACACCCTAAAGTGGAAGTGGAGACCTAAGACAGAGCAGGTAGAACACCTCATGCCCCTTGTGTGTTCTTTTTTGGGCCCAGATTGACTCACATTCTCTGTGACTCCCCAGTGAGCCCCCGTCTTGCTGAGCAGTTCTGCAGAGCACCTGCCCAATGACGTGCTTCTTCCCCAGAGTTACAGAGGAGCTGGGCTGAAATACCCCAGAGGAAGACGGCAGGCTCCTCACTGAGTGCTGCTGGCTAGAGTTCAGCCTGCGTACCACACCACACCCTTTCTCCTTGTGCTTTCCCAAACCAGCTCTCAAATTAACTTGCCGAGAGAAGAGCTGCTTCTAAGGGAAAAGGCATTAGAACTCTGTTTTGGTCGGTAAGACTGAGGCTACATCATGCAGAATGATACCCTAATAGATACCTAGAAGATTGTTCATAGTATTTCAGGACAGCCCATAGGCTTGAAGGAGGGAAGGGATGTGGAGGAAACTTGGAATCAGGCAAAGGTCAGCTTGCATCTTGGTTCGGCCACTTGCTAACTAACTGTGCATCGTATACCAAGTTACTGAATCTCTCTTGCATCTCAACTTCCTTACCTGTAAGACAGACGTGGTAGCAGTCTCCATCTACAGAGCTGGAAGTGCCAATGTGATCACACTTGTATTTGAACACTGTGAATGTCAAAGGAATAATAACTGTTGTTCGCAATATCTCAGTTTGGGAATTTGTCTGGCTGAAAGAGTTTGACCTTTGCCACAATCCTAGGTGAAGCATATTCCCAATGTGGCACCGCTAGGCCATATACTGACGTGATGTCCGTGAGCTTTGTGTGTATACCTGAGAGGAAGGGGCTGGCAGCCAGGACATCTGAAGCAATTCTTGCAGGGCTTGGCAGCTAGCTGGCTGGTACCTTGCTCAAGGCTCTTGTCCTCTTTGAACCTCTGTTTGCACATCTGGAAAGTGAGGGGCACAGATTAGTTTCCGTCCTGACCCCAGCAGCACTGATGGCTTGGTTGAGTGGAGCCACAGCGAAGACGGGAGGCCCCTCCCATATAGGGAGGCGGTCATTTTGTTCTCTAAGGAGAGCAATTGCTTTCTGAATTGAGGGCAGGTGGCAACCCCTCTCACAGACAGGCCTTCTCTGTGGCTCCCACTCCTACGAGGCAACCCCTGCCGTGCTGCAGAGCCTCTTGGCTGCATATCAGAGTGGCCGCAGGAAGTACTCAGGCCCTAATTTACTAATTGCTTTTAACACTCTTGAGATGAAAGTCGAGGGCACTCTTGGCCACGTGTTCAAATCCATCTCATTCCCTTCTTAACCATCCTCTGTCTAATAATCCTGCTGGCTGAGGCTGATCGTGGCCAGTTCCCAGATTTGGGGGGTGATGGCAGGAGGGGCTCTGTGCTGTCTGCCGGTTTTACCCTGGGGGACTCTCTGGCTGCAGAACCAGAGAGTCTCAGGTAGAAGGGAGTAGAAGACCCATGCAGGACAGAGGAAGAGCTGGAGTTCTTGCCCAGGTCTGGACACTTACAAGCTGTGTGACTAGGAGTTACTTGTTTTACCTCTCTGTGCATGGGCTATTTTGTTGACAACATGTGTGAATGGGTTGAGAGTTTTTCAGACCTTTTGTGGTTGTGACCAGCCAGAAAGAAGAAATGCAATTTTTTTTTTGTAGTCTTTATTTTGTATGTATGACTGAAAGCTAAGTTTTGTAAGGTAACTCCTGCTTGTGTTTCATGGGACAATGAGATTTTCTATTAGAGATTTATAAAAGTCTCATTTATTCTATTAAAAATCTTGGTCACATCTTGTCAGTGGGCCAGATGGTTGGTAAAGCACCATGTGATTCATAACCTTGGCCGCTCAGGAAAGAAACAAGAAACCGGAAATAGGGTGTGGGACTTAAATGGTCTCTGAAAGGGACACAAGGTGAGGCTTCAGGCTCAGAGCCTGTTAGGGAAGGATGTATCCAGGCTTCAGAGAACGAAGTAGGCTCAGAGAGAAGAGAAGGGCTTCCTAAGGCAAGATGGAACCAGAGCCTCCTGGGAACCCTGTGTCCTGCTGAGCTGCCAGAGTCCAGCTCTGCCTGACTCCAACTCGGGACAGGTGTGACATTTCAGTTCCATCTGAAATGATCGCCTGTCATAGAGGCTGGAAGAGACAGAAGCAAGTCATGGCTGCTGTGTCTGCCCCCCAGCCTCGTCCCAATGCCGGACCAACTGATACTTACATTATCAGTGGGTAGCATTGAATTACCGCTTCCTCTGAGTTAGTCACCATCCCTGAGAAGCGAATGATCACTCTGACCAGGCAGATTTGGACAAAGCCTGCCGGGTGTTGACCAGGAAACCCCGACTGGAGTTTGGCGCAGTATGAGCAGAGGTGCAGAAGGTTCCTGCTTCTCTTTGCAGGGCTCACAGCTTGCTTCTTCCTCCTATGGGGCCCAGAGAAAATGGGGCTGACCTCTGGGGCAGTCTGGGTCTGATCTCCCTCTGCTTGACTGAGGCACACGTTCCCTGTTCTCAGCTCTGTCCTCAGCTCCGCAGGCTGGACTGGAAACCTTGGGGTGCAGCTTTGGCTACGCTGAATGGAAAGTGTCTTTTCCTCTTCACATCCAGTCCCAGGTTGTAGGAGAGATGTAGGGAGAGGATGCTGCCCCTGGAAGAGGGGATGCTCAGGAAAGCATTGATATCAGAGACCAACCACAGAGTGTGCCAGAGTGTTGTCAGAAAGAAGCAGGGCCTGCCCACCCTTGTTGCCATGGATATGGTTGAAATAGGAGGAGACCTCTCTGGAAGCATCCATCTCCTATCCTGTTTGCGCGTCTGTTGGGAAGGAACACCAGCCCGGGGAGGCTGGGTGAAGTGCAGGAGCCTGGGTGAGAGCCCACAGCCTCTGTCCAGTGTTCAGTAAGAGCTGCTCCCTTCGGGCCTTGCTTTTCCCCGAGGGTGTGAGTGTGCCATAATACCTCAGCTGCCATCTTTCACATTCCAGAAACTGGGAAAACTGTGCCTTCTAGCATAAGGGGTGCACTAGTTACCTGGCAAGAAGCAGGTGGGGAGGGAAGACTGATCTGGACTCATGGCTGGAGGACGTAGTCGATTATTTGGGAAGGAATGACTGAGAATGGCTTTGTAGTGTTCAGTGGCTTATTCTCATCTCAGGAGACCAGGAAACATACATACACATGGGGGGGGCACTCACGTGTGAGGGGCAGGGAGGGAAGCAGAGGGAAGAGAAAGAGCCAACTCCGTAACAAGTAAGGCTGAACCCCTAAAGCTCACCTCCTAGCCATCTACTTCTACCAAGGCCTCGCCTCCTAAAGGGCCTACAATGCTACCAGCCAGGGACCAAGGTTTCATGAGCCAGTGGGGACATTTCATACCCACACCATAGCAAGAGCTATAGATTGTTAAACGTGTGGAAGAATTTCTGGCTGCCAGAATTAGGAAGTCCTTGGCCATGGAAAGGGTTCTCAGCACTCCCCCTTTTCTGGAAACCAAAAGAAGCTAGCAGCCTCTAAAGGGCATGAATAATGAAGCTATGTGGAGCTTCATGGAGTCAGAGGGATCTTCTGAGTCATGAGGATGTCAGGATTCTACCTCAGGGAGTCTAGGTCCCTTGACTGTGGGAAAGAGTTTGAGTCTATGTTGTTTTTTTTTTTTTGTTGTTGTTGTTTGTTTTGTTTTGTTTTGTTTTTTAATCAGGCTGAGACTATGTCCTATTTTGCCTGAGGAGGGCCCAAAGTTTCCTGAATCAGAGGCCAGCAAGGCTGATCTGCCAGTCTGACTCAGGCTCCTCCCCATAGTTCCGTGGCCTGGTTCCCTCATTTGATCCATGGAAGGCCACAGTTGTATTTGATGGAGTCCGTGTGTGCCCTAAACCCTCTGTTTTTGACCACAGTTCCTCATCTACTCAGGCTCACCTTGTCCGTCTAAAGCCCTAAGTGGCCTCCTCAAACTTCAGGAAGGGACTTACGCAGTAGGACAAGCACCCCACCGGAGCAGCTGGCACCCATCTCGGCATCACCATTTTCCCTGGCACAGAGCTCTAGGAGCAGAAAAACTTT